AGCACTCCTGAAGGAAACACGGGACGCTCGTGACCACGCCCCTCCGCCTCGACCGGCACCCTGCGGTGCTTTTCACGTGTTCCGGAGTGCGATTGATTCGCGGTTTTCTACTTTATGTATTTTTGGAAGCCCCACCCCTCCTCAAGTTCTTCCCAGCCCGATGTGCTGTGCAGAGATGGACGGTGGCATGAGGACGATTGCCGGCTGTAAGCAGGGAAAGGAACAGAGCCTTCCATGCCTGTCCTAGAACAGTGTTCAATGCAAGTCCAGTTTAGTGGGCGTCCCTGTAACCCGGCCTGCTGTCGGCACGGTGGACCGTGACTGATTCAAGCCGGCAGCTCGCAGGTGCCAGAAAAGGGCACAGGAGGCTGTGTGAGTCTCACCGTGGACAACGTGGCCTGAGTGAGGTGTGGTGCCTCTGCACAGGCTGGGGAGCTCACCCGCTGGGGGTTCCTGGGAGCAGGACTTCCTGGCATCCAGACCAAGCTGAGGGTGGAGAGCCGGGGCAGAACCAGGCTGTGGGCCGAAGAGAGGCCAGGCTGGCCCTGGACAGAATGTCTCCTACCTTAAGCACGAATCAAAGATTTTTTTTTTCCTGGACAATTTAATATATGTGGATGTTGTTTTTACATTCAATAAAAAGGAAGAAGGCACCTGGGAAACTCGGTTGGTTCTGTCATCTGACCCCAGGGCACTCACAAAGTGACCACAGAGAGTGGTCAGACACCGTCTGAGAAGGCAGGCGGAAGGTAGCACAGGGAAGGAGGCGGAGGGGTAGCTCTTGTAGCCATGTCATGGGGTGGGGTTGGGGGTGCTGCTCTGAGAAGTCACGGGGGTCCAGGCAGGGTCTGCTTCCTGGGCGCAGGGCTCCAGAGCAGGGACCCTCTGCCCCCACCCAGCTAAGGCACATTCCTTTCTCTCTCCAGCAAGCGTCCTTCCACCCTGAGGTGAAGGAGGAGGTGCGCACCCGAGCCTTGCGGTACGGGACGGAGTGCAGCCTGGGGTACCTGGATCTCCTAGAGCATGTCCTGGTGGTGAGTAGGGGCGTGGGCCGGGGAAGAGCCACCTGCAGGGGGCCACTGCTTTTCCCTTCTGCAGGAAATCCCTCCAACGGCATTGTCCCAGGACAGCTCCTGAGAATACACAATTCTCCCAGCCAGCACAGAGAGATGCAAGTGTGTAGTCTGGAGGAGGCTGAAGTTAGGATCCAGGAGGCTGGGCAGGGAGTGCCACCCTGCAAAACACCCCTGTGGTGAAGACCCCGTTCTTCCTGGGAGGGGTCAGGCTCCTGAAACAGCCACTCCAGCCTCTGGGACAAGGGAGGGAGAAACCTCATAGCCTCTGTGGACTTATTGTGGTCTTTGAATGAATGGCTTCTAGCACACTGGAAATGCCCCTCCACCCCCTACCTAGTCCGCCAATGACCTTCCCCGAGCCCAGGGTGCCCAGTGTAGGGTTGGGGAAAGGAGGCAGAAAGGAATGCTCCTGGAAGAAAGAAAGGGTGGCCCTGGGGCCCAGCAGATGCCTACAGGTGAGCCTCAGGCTTGTGCACTTTCCCAGCTCCTGGGGCGACGTGACTCCTGCACGGAGCCCCTCCCTTGCCCCTAATGACCTAACCAGGAACTAAGCAAGGACACACCTGCGCTGGCTGCCAGGTGCCATCTGTAGAAGGAATGGAGTTGTGTTCTGGAGGCGGGGACGCCCCCCAGAGGAGAGAGCTTACTGCTACCCTGCTTGTCCCCAGAACTCCCAGGAAGCGTCCAGGAGGTCATCTTTGGATACACAAAGCATGTTCCTACGGGGGGACTGTCCACCCCTCCATTGCTGGGGACACTCTGCCTGTGCTTTCCTGTTTGACCATTGCACAGCCAGGTGAGGCTGGCCTGGCTAAGAAACCATCTGAGACCCTGACATTCAGCCCTTTGGGGGAGCTCCCCTCGCTCCTTGGTGGCAGACCTGAGGCTCAGGCTCAGCTCCTGCCGTCCCTGGCCCTGTGCTCCACCTCGAGGCCCATTGCCCTCGCCTTAAAAAATACATCTGGAGAAGCGCTGGAGACAATGGCCCTGAGTTGCTCTTCCAACCTTAAGGTGAAATTGTCCCCTTTAAACTAAATAACAGCTCAGCTTAAGAAACGGTAACAATTATCCCCCTTTGAATATTGTGTCCTTTAAAAAGAATTGTCTCTATAAGACCAGTTGGTCAACAGCAATTTGAGCACATCGATGAGAGAGCGTTGTCAGGGTCAGGGCAGGGAGTTAATGAGAATGGAGAACAGAAATAACGAGAATGTTGACTTAAAGCGAAGTCTGGAACCAGGATCACTGAGCCTTATGTCTGAGAACTGCAGTGGGAGTGGGTTTGCTGTGTGTATTTTTGTAACAAAATCATGCGTTACTTTCTTTTTTTAAAATCATTTTATTGGCGGCTCATACAACTCTTACCACAATCCATACATACATCAATTGTGTATCATTCTCAAAACATTTGCTCTCCACGTAAGCCCCTGGCATCAGCTCATTTTACCTCTCCCTCTCCGCTCCCCACTCCCTCATGAACCCTTGATAATTCAGAAATTATTATTTTGTCATATCTTACACTGTCTGACATCTCCCTTCACCCACTTTTCTGTTGCCCATCCCTTAGGCAGGAGGTCACATATAGATCCTTGTAATCGGTTCCCCCTTTCTACCCCACCCTCCTTCCACCCTCCCGGTATCGCCACTCTCACCACTGGTCCTGAGGGGTTCATTTGTCCTGGATTTCCTGTGTTTCCAGTTCCTGTCTGTACCAGTGTACATCCTCTGGTCTAGCCAGACTTGTCAGGTAGAATTGGGATCATGATAGTGGGTGTGAAAGGAAGCATTTAGGAACTAGAGGAAAGTTGTATGTTTCATTGTTGCTACCCTGCACCCTGACTGGCTCATCTCCTCCCACGCGCTACTTTCTGTAAGCATTGCTGGTCTTTCAGTCTTTACCCAGGTGACAGGGCACGGTGGCCAGCCGGGGTCCACTAACACTGGGCTGCCAAGGCCTGAACCCTCATGAGTGGGGACCAGAGCATATCTCACACATGTACCAGGAAAGAACAGCTTAGCTAGTCAGCCTTTACAGGCAAGAGCGTCACCAGCCAAGCCAGGCGTGTGCGTGTGTGCGTCTGCTTTGAAGAAAGGGTCAGGTCAGGGGAATGAACCCAGCCAGGTGTGGAAAAGCAACTCTTTCCTTACTGGAACCCTGTGCTCCTCTGGGTCACTGGAACCTTGCTGCATCTGAAAGCTAGCAAGTACAGTCGACAATGTGAGACTTAGGTTCAAAGACAAGTTCGAATCCGGCCACAGAACCACCCCTGCTGGCCTGGGCTTTATCAGGGACATCAGCCTGCGTGCTTGCAGTGAATGACTAGAGAAGTGGTGGGGCGGTGGTGGAAGTGAGGGCTGAGGAGAAGGAGGGGCCTCAGACCGGCCACCGCAAGCGGGGCTCCCAGCCCCCTGCTACTCCGTCACCAGGCTTGCTCCATGTGCCTGCCTTCCCATGGTACAACTCCCGATGCCTCCCCAATCCTTATTTTGGTGAGCAAAGTAAGATGGCATCCTGAGGGGAAGCTGCAGGTCTCAGGGCCTCTGTGAACATTGGAGAAGTTCTAGGAGACGTTCCTGTGAGTCCCTGGGAGATGCAAACAGTGAAGGCATTTGTCTGCTAACCAGAGTGCCTCGGAAGAAAGGCGTGGAGATGGACTTCTGAAATATCAGCCGTCGAACGCTCTGTGGAGCACAGTTCTGCTCAGGGTCCCTGTGGGTCAAATCAACTTTTCAGTAGTGGCTCGGGAGCCACTTCCTGTCTATGCCTCCAGAGACCCCAGCCCCACTGCAGCTCCCGCATGGCGAGAGGCACACCCCCCCTCCCCCGTGCGGGTGCTGAGTCAGCGCTTTCTCTGGCACTGGAGAAGGGACTTGCCTTTTGGGAATGAAGCCTCTCAAATTGCGTACACGGGGGCTTCAAAAGGTCACAGAAAATGGAATTACAAGATGTTCCCAAATGGACTGTGGTGATGATCGCACAATTCTTCTTAGTAGGATTGAATGATTGCATTGTACGATTTGTGAATTGTGTGCCAAGAAAACCACTAAAAATGTTAAGATGGAAAAACAGAGTGTCAATTTTAAAAGAGGATGGAATTTTTTCCCACAAACTGTTTGAAGCCCCTTCAGAAGTAGCTTGAGAGGTGGCATTTGCAAGGTCCCTGGGGGAGGCCAGGTGTTGGAGGAGAGCCAGGGACCACCACCCTCCTCTCCAGGGCCTGGGGGAAAGCGGGCTGCACTTTGTCCCCCACTGAGCTCCTCCCAGGCCTGTCCCCTTTGGGCTGCTGTATTTTCTCTCTCGGGGCCTCCTTGTGTTTACTGTAGAAGCAGGACTCTGCATCCTTACGTGTTCGTGTCTCTTAAGAGCCCACCACCTGTTTCTTTTCCTCTGTCTATATAATGAGTACATTCGCAGCCCATCACTGCGGTAGAAATACGAACGCACTATTTTCCATGTTGGTTTGGAGGTGCTCAGTGCAAAGGTAAGCTTGGGCAAAGGTGAAATTATTAATAGGGGGAAAACTGACATGACGTCGGAACCACTTCTGGTCTTAGGCAAGAACAATACCGTTCTACCTGCACGGTGATAGGGGCTGAACGCTGGGACTTCCGAGGTAGCGGAATGGGAATAACTTCATGCTTTCTTTGTTCGTGTATTTTGTTTCAGTTCTCTTTAAAAAGTGAAACGCATTCTTTAAAGGCTATTTCGTAACAGAAGTACAGGTGCTTCCAGGGGATTATTAGAAACCTAAGTAAGATACAGGCTACTGGGGAAGACATCCTTCTGGGTAAAAGAGGGCCAGCCAAAAAGGAGGAAGACTCAACTAGATGGAGTGACGTGGTGGCTACAGCAGTGGACTCACACGTGGGAACAAAGGTGAGGATGGGCCGGGGCCGTTCCGTCGTCTGTAGCAGGGCCGGCTGCTCACTGTTGGATGTGGTGCGCTGGTGACTTGACACACCTGACCGGGAAAATGAGAGAATCCCTGTAAAAGTGCTCTGCCCTCTCAATTGTGGCCATGTGTTGTTTGCTTGGGTCTGACTCGATACAAACAAGCTCACAGCTCACTTCATTAGCCCTGCCTCCCTTCCGATGCAGATTTGTAAAGAAACCCGGGTAGAATAAGTCTAAGACCAAGAGCACAGTGTTCCCTGCTAAAGAGGTCCCGGGGCCATGGGATGGAGGAGGCCCAGACTTGGAAGTTCACTTTCACTTCTGAATGAAATTTTCAAGAGAGAATCCGCAGGCGGAAGTCAAACTGATTATTGAAGGAAGCATCAAGGTTTTGTTGCAATCTTGAGGGTAGAAGAAAAGAATTGTTCGATTCGATTTTTGAGGCTGGTGGATGTTAAAAAGCAATTACACACTGGTGATTTTTGCCAACCCCTCCCCATTGTATGGTCTTTACAAAAAGACCAGGTGTGAGCAGGTGACAAGCAAAACCCAAAATCAAACTCTTTGCTGTAAGCGTCATCTCATAGCACCCTATGGGACAGGGCAGCGCTGGCCCTGTGTGTTTCTGAGCCTGTCACTCTATGGCGGTAGAAAGCCTCGTCTCTCTCCCGGAAGCCGCTGGTGGTTTCCACCTGCTTGGCAGCCCCACACGTAGCCCCACACCCCCCCGGCTAAGCGAGTCACCTTCAATCAGGGCTGGAGCAGCAGAGCTGTGCTGGTCTCCCTGGTTGTCATTTGATTTGTATAACTGACCATTTGACTCTGGAAAAAGGTTTAAAACTGCATCACAGTATCCGCATCCATATGCCTCCCACCTGTCCCTAACTTAAACTGTTACTTAACATTTGTGCTATGTGCCTTGGGTCCTGGATGTTTTCAAGAAATACAAGAGGACTTCAGCAACTTCAAGGACATTTTCATTAGCGTTTAATTCTTTATCCACGAACTTTCGACACTCTCATAACTTTGAAGTCCTGCCAGTTCCATTCTTATTTTTCTCACT